TCCACAAATAAAAAATTGGGGGGGGGGGGGGTCCTCCAATTAATCCTCGTTTAGGAAAGTCAAACAACAAGCCCAGTCATTTTTCAGTGGATACTTCGGATACTAGCCCATAATAACCGATACTCTTTCTTAGGTCTTCATGAAAGCAGTTTCATTAATTCTTATAAAGACAAAAGGAGTTCTCGAGAGTTTTTTCAAATGTTAGGTCTTAGTTCAGTAATGTAACAAAAATCCTTTTTATCATCTGCCTTAGTTTGGCATAGTGTAGTATGGGATAACGCTGGAGGAGGTAGGAGGAATTCACTATTCGGCTAGAAGGAAGAAAATTTGTAATTTGCTTTTCCATTAGAAAGTATACCAATAGAGATGTCAGAAAGCACAAGATGTAAACTTTGTAATCTTAATCAAAACCAAAGAAGTTTGCTTTAATAAATGTATTCCCCAGTCAAGGTTTGCAACCTTTATACAAGCAGCTTGCTTCTTCATATGAAGGAAGTACAGGTGAAATCTTCAAAGAGAGAATGCAATAGGATATTGCTGGAACATCAGCAATTTCCATTTGAAAAGACCATCTGTCTTCTAGCAAAGCAGTAATTCATGGAAAATATGCTGCATAAACCGTTTCATCCTGACCCTACCTCAACTGAAACAGAAACACTTGTCAACTTTCTGGAAGTGCCAGAAGCAGTTCAAGTTTAGCCCAACTCATCTTGTAGGCCCTCAAATTCCAAGCAGGTACTCCCAAAGTAGTTGTATGGAATTAATTAGACTTCAGTATTTAAATACAAGCTCAGAAGTTTTAGACACATTGTTTCATCACATTATTTGCACAAATGAACAAAGAACTTAGTCTGATGCAGGCAGACTGGTATGTTTCTGGTTACCAGAAAGGCAACATCTAGGTAGAATATCTGGAGAGCCATCCAACTTCAAAATGGCATTCAGAAACACTTATGATGGAAAATTCTGTGTAAACAGATATACTGAGGAGGGAAAAATAAACAGGGAGTGGGAGAGACATAAATATGAAAGTCAACCTTACACAATTTAGAAAAATATTGCAAGATGACTACGTTTCTTCTGCCCATTTGTTTTGCTTGTAGTGGCCACTGTTTTTACAGTTCCAAGTTTCCACATTCAGGAAGGAAATAATTATATAGAATGGCTTCCGACCCTTCTGTAAGGTCTTGGTTCAGAACAGTTTCCAACATCAGAGGTGACAGAGAGCTATGACTTTCTCATTACTCAGCAGAAATGTTTGCATACAACTTTTAATCTGACATATTCTGAAGAGCCAGACTTTGCTCACTGCAAGGATTTTTGTGTTTGTTTGTTTGTTTGGTATGGCCACGGGGTTTTTTTGGTTGGTCTGGTTTGGTTTGTTGGGAGGGGAAGGTAGAAGGTGGTCTGGGGGGGTTGGTGGGAGGACAGGGTGTTTTGGTTATTTTGTTGTTGTTGTTTGGGGTTGGTTTGTTTTTAAATACACTTGCCAGTGTTACAACCCAAATGGCTGAAGCCTTCACTGAAGATTCTGTGGTCTGGACCACTGAAGACTTCTAATATCTCCTGGTTTTTTTCCTTTTTTGTTTTCATTGCTAACTCAAGAACATAATTCTGGTCTAGGCAATTCCAGGCCCCATAAATAATTCTTACAAATTTCAACACCTATAGAGCCAGCTCTGACAAATGTATTTTTACAATATTCTCCCCCCTGTATTTCCTGGATTTCAATCACAAAAGCTATGTGGAAAGTATGTTAAAAAATATTAATATCAGAACACTGCTGCAAATGAGGCTCTTGGTACAAAGTATTTTCTGAACGTTACAGAGGAGAAATTCTCTATAAGGAGACCACCTCTGCTGAAAACATATCTATGCTGCATCTACATCACGGGAGATGATCAAGATCCAAAAGATTTAAAATTCTAAAACGTTTCACAGTGATTGAGTCCTCTCCTTCTACAAAGTGGGCCTCCTAAAGAAGTCTGTTTCAATTCCTTTTATCCCATTTTTTTCTGCTAACCTTTTCTGAGGCAGAATTGAGATAGAGTCATAGTCTTCTTCCTAGGGTTACAAAGCACTGATGCAAAAAAGCTACTCCCACGTCTCTGATTCAAGGTTACTATAATCCAGTTTCTTTAGGAAAGCAAGAAAACTCAAAAAGGAAGTAAATATCTAAAGAGTATTCAGACATTTCTGCCATTTTTGTCTTCCCTTATAGGGAGACAGTAACATCCATCTCCCAACAGAATAACAACCAACCAAAAATATTTCATAAAAATGACACATTCAGAAAGCTACAGTGAAAAATCAAATTAAAGGCTACGAAATATTAACACTCCTCTAAGGGTGCAGATTTTCTCAGGGTGGTGGTGGTGGAGGAAACAACAGAAGTTATAACTTATCAAAATAAGATGTTATGGAATAATTGTGCAGATTGCATTTATATAAGGCTCTGTGTGTTTTTATCTCAAAGGCCTCATCTATACTGCAGTCACTGCAGGATGTTAACAATGTCTAAGAAACACTTGTGTGTTCTAGCCTCCAAGACCACTCCAAACCATCCAGAAGCAACAGTATTACCCAGTGGGGCTTTTGACACCTAATGGAGACAGTTTGTGCCTCCCTGCTTTCAAACAATTCATTCTACAAAAATCCAGTAGTTGCTCAATGAAGCTTTTCAATATTTAACTGTTCAAAAATCCTCTTACAGCCATATTTGAAGGCTTACCACTACAAATGTAATTTTGAAGGCTTCTCTGAAACACAGACTTCAACTGGGCAACAAGTGTAACACAAAAGCATGACTGGGACTAAGAATCTGATTACAGACATCACTGATCTCCTAGTAAGACGAAAAACAACTCTAAGCTGTATGAGTGGTTGGCATACTGGAGTATATACCCAAGGCAAAAGACCTGTCACAGCCTGCAAACCAGCTTTAGATTTCAACTGTACTGCAAACGGAAAGTGATCTATAAAACCTGGTCTCAGTCTTGTTCAGAACTGTGAGAAAAAGAAGCCATACTACATCTTCTCTCAAAAGTCTCTTTGAACAGCCAACAGAAAGGTACCAATACCTTCTTGAAAAACGCATTTTGCAAATTTAAATGTAAGTAACTTCAGGCTGTTAAAAGCAACACACATCAAAGAGACAAGTTTCAGGGAATACTCGACAGAGCAGGGAACACAGTATACTCTCTCATGCTCTTGTACACTCAAACGTTGGCATCATCACACAAGCGTGGTTTCTCAGAGACCTTCTGCATGTGCAGGCTTGCAGGAAGCCTCCTTCCTACCTCGCTAATGGCCTCTGTGTACTCCCACTTAAGAAATCTCAGTAAGCACTGCAAGTTTTGCAAATGGCAAACTGAGGAGCTCTTGTTAAACAGTGACAGCAATTCTCCACTCCCAATATGGGAATTCAGATCTCTAACCAAATCAGGACCATACCCAGGTATTCGAAACTTCAGGAGTTTTTCCTCAGACTTTGTGACAAAATACCACTGTAGCTGACAGCAAAGCCCCACTAAAGCCACTGTCTTCTACACAGAAGTGGCAAATCCACATGGAGGCCCTTGTGTAGTAACAACTCTTAGTACATAAACTAATTCTCTTACATGGGCTGTGGTTGTTATATTATTTTCTGTTCTTGTTGACTTTTTCATCCTATCTAACCATGATTTTCCAAGTCATCTTCATATACACCTATAACTTTTCTTTACAATATTTAGGTCTTTAGATTCAGGAAGAAACCAGAACTCATTAGGTAAAATTAGAGACCTGCAATTCAGTCATCCTGCTTTCCACAAGATATAAGCAAAAGGGAAAGTACTACACGTACAAGTAAATTAAGAAGCCAAACAACACAGAAATCATGTTTTCTGAAAGGATTTTACAATCATCCCTTACTTTCATTTCTGAGCATCCTTCATATAAAGTTGGTTGAAAAAACTCCCACCTAATTCTCAAAAGGTCTCTGAATATTCTTCTTCTCAAGGTTAAAGCTCTGTTTATGGGACAGAGAATAAGAGATGACCAAAAGGCTTGGTAATGAAGTGGAATAAAAGGGGTCTTTCAGCACTGAAAGCCACCTGTGGCAGTCTTTAAGAGACAAGTCTTACAAGGAAAGGGTTAAAAAAGTCTCATGAAGTCTAAGTTTCTTGTGCAAATTTTTGACGCTAGTGACCAACAAGGTTAAACCAATACAGCAGACAGATGCAGCATGATAAAAGACAAACTCTGCTGGTCTCTAAGATGTGATAATCAAATACACATTAAGAGTGAAATGAGTGAATTAAAAAGAACCCAACCCTTTTCCCACCTCCGCATAAATTACACTTGTTTACTGATGTTATTCAAGGTCCACAAACAGGTCCTTTCATTTTTAATATTAAAGTTTTGATGGAAAGCATTCCAGAGAGCAGAACAGTATGTAGTTGCACAATCAAATCAAATTTGAGATTTTCTTGTAAGAAAATAAGTAAATACAAACAACAGCAACCAGTAACAAGCATCTCTGACCCACTGACCTATGATTCATATTAATGGTTTTTCAATTAAAAGAAATATTGCTTCCAGTGCCAATGAAGCCTCACTGGCAAGTAGCTAAAATTGGGATAA